TTTTTTTTTTTTTGGTGTTGTATTGTTTTCGTTTTTATTTTTTTGCCACTAACGTTAGTATTCATTCCGCATTGCTAAACAAAAGTTATTCCGTGTTTGTGTTTTTAATGCTTTATTCAATATTGGTATTTGTAGTTGAGAGATTTGGGGATTTGGTTTGCTTTGGTTTACATTTTTTGGTTGTTTGTTTTTGCTTATTATGTTAAGCAGAAATCCTGCAATGAAAGGTACTATATTTGCTAGACTCTAGACAAAAGATATTGTACATAAAGAGAATTTTTTTTGTCTTTAAATAGATAAAAAAATGTCTATCAAACTTAATCAGGTTGTAACTTATGTTGAAGACAATTTGATACATAATAAATGATGATGACAATATCCTCGACTCGTTTTTGGTTTCTGCTTCCTTTATTTTTTTACAGCTATTTATTTTTCACATGTCTTTCAACTGCTGTTTTGTCTAACTGCATTTATATGAGAAATAGGTTGGGAGGTTGGTCTCCCTACGTGACTAATGAAGAAAGCGAGAGATGAAGGGATTTTGATCCAAGATCACACAATTATTAACATTTATTTAGCTCTGAATTGGGGCACCTGGTGTGGAGTCCACACCAGAACCTAGCCCACGACTCCTCCTTGTAGCATTAGGTTGTATCTTGGGGGGGCAACAGTAAACGCGACTCCCTGATGGGAGGGACTTTGTTTTATTCACTGCTGTGCCCCAAGCACCTAGAACCTATTGTCTAGTGCATAGTAGGTGCTCAGTAAGTATTTGTTATCCATTAATATTCATTGGTTGAATAAATGAGAGCATACACATCGGGGTTTGATCAGGGAAGCAAGATATTGATGTTAAATATTATATATAATTTCCATCCTATATATCCATTATATATATATAATACATATAATATATAATACATATTTATAATGTGTGTGTGTGTGTGTGTGTGTGTGTGTGTGTAATTTGCTACAGGGATTTGACCTTGGACAATCATTGGAGTTGCTTACACAGTTTCTTTAAGACCATTGTCTTTGTGGGGTTCCTGGGTGGTTCAGTCAGTTAAGCTTCTGACTCTTGATCTCATCTCAGGTCTTGATCTCAGGGTGGTGAGTTCCAGCCTGGAGTTTAAAAAATAAATAAATAAATAAATAAATAAATAAATAAATAAATAAATAAATAAAATCCATTGTTTTTGCATTTGACACTGGATCTTGAAGCCCACAGGGCAGACAGTCGGGAAGGCAAGAAGATGGATGTAGTTGGGGAGAGCAAGAACAGGCCAGAAGTCGAACATGAGTTAGCACCCATGAGGACAAACAAATCTATATCAATTCTTATTCCTCTGATGGTGGTGTGGGTCCTACAGAGGCCAGGACCCTATGTAGTGGAACTAAACACACACTGGCCAGGAGCTCAAGAAGCAGACATGAGCCCTCATAAAAGCAACTGTTTTGTGTGAACTTGAAAATGCCGCCTCATTTCCATCCAGGCCTCCCCTGTGAGGAGGGGGAGAAATCAGCGTAGCAGGCTTGCATCTCCTTGCTGTTCTGTGGCCCCAGGAGCCCTATTAATCTGAGCATTTGAGAGCTAACTGTACCGTTTCAATGTGGAAATAACAGGCCAACTGTTCTTTTTATGACAGTGTGAATGAGACTGTCTTCACTCAGGCATCACAATTCCCGATTAGCTCTAATTCCTGCCCTGTTTGTGACTGCCAGCTCCCTCTAGGAAAAGCAGGTCCCATCCACACACTTTCCACTCTGCTGCCTCGCTGAAAAGTGGATGGACTCAAGAGTGTAACAGCTTGCTACTGCTTCAATAGAGGAACACTTCAGGGTTGTATCCTGTCTGTTCAGTTTGTCATAAAGGACCAATTGGCTAGCTTAAGCGAAAGCTTGAAGTGGTGCCCACGGAACCCAAGAACGGAAACACAGTTGAGCCATAGGAGGTTCCTGGAACTGTGGACTAGGATTCCCTGCAGCTCTGCACTTCTGAGTGCTGTGTTTTGCTCTCCAAAGAGACAAGTATACTTGTCTCTGCTACTCAGTCCACATGGGTTGGAAAAAGCACTAGGCTTGAACCCCCAAGTTCACACAGACAACGTCCAGTGACCTCTCTCAACGTCCGGGAGAGAAAATCTGACCCAGTTTTCAGTGGATTATCTATCCCTGACTCCTCAGCGGGCAGCTCGGGGAAGGAGCGCGTGTAGTAAAGACTTGGCCACCCTTTGACCTATAGACGGAGCCTACAACCAGAATAGGAGGGATCGCTGAGAGCTGGCAGACACCCAGAAAGGAGCCAGCTGGTCCACAGAGCCCTTGATCCAGCCCAACAAGCTTGCTCTGACTCCTGGTGGGTGAGTCTAGTTGACGCTCTGCAATTAAGGCAAAACCAAGACGGTCCTGGCTCTCAGGACCTGAAGGGCTTGTGGAACAAAGGCCTTTAGGAAGTTTTAGTCACAAAAGGGCAAGAGACTGCCAACAGCATTAATAGCTGTGGGTCCAGAAGGAACCTCCTTGAGCAAAAGAGGAATGAATACACAGCTGGGTGTATTGGCCTCTTGGTTCAGCTGTGGAAGGCAGTGCAGGGGCTACAAGTTTGAATATAAGGTGGGTAGTAAAGGTTATTAAAGGTTATTACTTTATCTGGTGCCCTTCAAGGACTGAAAGTGCTTTAAAATCCCCAAACTCTGTGCCTTCTAGGCTGGAGCTGAGCGTTGCAAGGGTGGAGGCAAGACCGCAGGCATCCTGGCACTCATTCCATGCTGCTGCCATTTCCCGTGGGAAGAGGTTTTAACCAGTGCATTAGGACACTCCAAAAGGACAGTGTATTTTTGTTCCACTGAAAATTAGGACACCTCATGAGCTGCTTGGGCCCACGACAGAGCAGTAGGGGTGGACTTACAGCACCATGAGGCAGATCCGTAGCTGGGTGAACACTCCCATGCAAGAGCAGAGATCTATTGGTAGGCTG